TATTTCCAGTTCCTCTGGCAGTTAATGTGGTGTGGAGTACCCAAAGCAGCATTGTGCATTTAACGCAGTCACATTTGGTCAGCATTCAATATTTTGAGTTGCTATATTCTTAGCATGTGGGAGATGTTGTTTTATCTTGTCATGACAGTTTTATTGAGTTACCTGTTAGTAAGAGAATAGACTAACATTGATCTTGATAAAAGACTTTTGTGCTGGTTACTGAAAGTGGAATGTGATTCAGCTCAAGAAATAGACTGTTTAAGTATTGTATTAGTTCTGAAGCAGGACAGCATTCTATAAAAATTGCATTTCTGTAGTGTTTATTGCAGATTTTTTCACCTGTTCATTATTGCAATAAATTCAAAGGAATGGTTTTTTTTATCTGTAAAACAAGAGGTTTTACAATGTTCAGTTAACCTATATTGTGGTTCTTACGTAGCATTTTATAGAGTTGCAGAAATATTGTTATAATAATACCTTTTAATATAATTGATACAAAAGTAATTTAATCACATCAAGACCATTAGGTGCTGGGGTTTTATTCTTATTTCACTCCAAATACTCCAGCTTTGTTCTATGATTGCCATGTAGTTTGAGTGCTTGCATATGTTTCTGTGATCAGTAAAATTATTGTGTATGTGGAGTCAGGGCAAGCTTGTTGGCTAAATGTAGATATCCAAAATTTTGATTATAGGTTTATCACAGTAGGTATGAATGCTTGCTTCCAACACGTAATCATCTAAATCGATAAAACTGCTAAAGCAAAAAAAAACCCCACAGATTCTGCCTTCTCTTCTGTTGAGATTCAGTCCGATATTTCTGTGGCTGGAAGTAAAACCACTTTCCAGAGTAGGACTAAAGTTATGCACTATGTTGTGTGTCATATAGAAATCTTAGTTGGTCCAGGTTACCTGAGACTTGATCTGTGAATAGATTTGCATGCTGATTTATGTGCTATTCGGAACTTAATTAACCATATGAATTTGGATAGCATGCTCAGTTACCTCTTTTGTTGTTCATTGTCTAAACTACTTGTAGTTAGGTGCTTCAGACTGGGTATATCTACAAAATTAGTAAGGCTTGTACATATGAGTTTGTGTGCGTTTATGGAAGTATATCTTCAACTATATAAACAAATAACCAGAAGAGAAGCTGCTCTTTAAGACTATCTTCTCTTTCCAATCTTTGAATATCCGAACAAGAAATCTGTTGCGTGTTGCTTTCCTTCCACTCTTTTCACTTTGGCATGGAACTTGATTTATGCTTTCTGGGGACATTCATAAATAATTGGTGCTTTTTCTGTATTTTCTGGACGTTATTACATCCTTGAGATCCAGTAGCAACTGCTTAGTGAGGATTTTGTTACATATTAAATTGTTAAAAGGCTACTAAGGCTGCAGAATCAATAGCAGAGGTGTCCTCTCTGGCCGTGGTTTTCTAAGGAGGAGTTCCTTCCTGTTTCTTGTTTTGTCCTGCCCTTTTCCTAGTTTACTGCTAGCTGGCTGCTGGGTGTTAAGAGGCATTTTTGCTAAGAACGTACGTATATTTGTGCTGCTTGGCCTACTTAGAGCTCAACATCTACATGCTCTCTGACCAGGTAGTTTACACATTCAAGTCATTTGTGCAGCCCGCCAGAAAACATGTATCTTCTGGTTGATGAGCATGCAGCACCCATGCAGCACATTTGAATGGGTTAACAAAAAAATAGACAGACACTTTCAGTCTTTTAAACTACTGTGCAAATCTTGTGCTATGCATATTTGCCTTAGGATTTCGTGTTCCTTGCTATGGAAATAAATTATTTTATTTTTTATAATAGAATTCACAAGTTACCTGCTAACTTCTGATTTGGCAGCAGCATGTCTAAGCAGTGCAAGAAATTTAGCACGAGCTGTGTTTTCCTGAAGTGTTTCTCTGTCTCTCCCTCGTGCCTTTCTGGTTTTGGGGATTTTTCCTCCGTGACTATTTTGTCAAATGCTTGACTGATGTATTACTCAGTTTGTACTTTCTCAAATTGTCTGCACTACACAAAAGGTTATCCACTACTTAAAACAATAAAAACTTTGATGCAGTTCAGAAATTTAAAGGAGACATCGTCTTGAACAGACTACACAGGAATGATGCAGTTCAGAAATTTAAAGGAGACATCATCTTGAACAGACTACAGTAAAAGTAAAATATATATCATTTTTTTGGTACTATATAGAAATGGTGGAATGAGATCTTGCTAAAAGTCTTTTGCAAAGTTATATTTGGTTTGTAGTTCCCAAAGTTTCATCCGTTTTCTTGCCTTTTTGACAAATACAGCACTGGGGAACGAGTGGCTGTGACTAGAAAAGTAGAGAAAGAATGACTCAAATCTATGCTACCATCAAAAACTGTATTTAGAAAAACATCCACAGGCAGGCACACTGCTGAGATATCCTTATGCGGCAACCAAGGGCACGGACTCTGCCGAGTGATGAAGCGAAGACATTTAATGTTTTGTTTTTACAGCATATATAGTTTCTCTCTTTTGATTACGCGCTGTGCTCTCTACACAGATAGGTTGTGGAGCCTGTCCACACGCCGTTGTGAGAAATACAATTGGCTACATAGAAGTGTTCATGCGCCCAGGCCAATTAGTCATTATTATTTGTTTTGTTATTTTGTTATCTATTTTGCTGGCTTGGTATCTGTATTGTTGTCTTCACATTACCGTACAAGGACATTCTTTACTGTTCTCAAGGCTTTTTTCCCATCACTGCAAGAACACCTGCCCAGCTCTCGCTCAGCAGCGTCTCCACAATTCCTCACTCCCACATCCTAACAACTGCATTCACTGTAAAATGTATTTAAGGAAGGACAGAAGTTAGTGGGTTCTCAGTTTGGGCCTGTGCAAATTATAAGAACACATTCATAATAAACAGCTTTACTCATCCAGACTTACAGGTACGGATCTAAACCCAGTCATCTAAGCAGCACTGTGTTGGCTGGAGGACTTCAACTACTTGATTGGTCCCTACTGAATTGGGACATTGGTTGTGTTGCACGGTCGAACACCCACCCACACAAATCAGCTTCCCATGCTCAAGGACTGTGTTTGAAGAGCAATTTTTCTACAGTGCCTTGCAGAATTAGACCCCAAAGCTGCCCACTTCAGGTTTCTCTGTAAGTCATACACTAAACATGACGTTGGAATCCTGGGAAAGAAGCAATCACTAAATTCTATTATCACAGATAATATTGTGTTAAATAAAACACTACGTTGCTATGATTTTCTTTCTTTTTCATTTACAACTTTATTTAGCTTCTGCAGAACATGAAGCAGCTGTCAACTGATATGAAGTCTTGGGGTTCTTCCTAGAGAAGACCTAATATTTTGTGCCTGCAGGCACATGGGTCAGTTTAGTGTACCGGTCATGGAACTCAGTAGTAGTCTTGGGAAGACAAAAATGCTCACTGCATTTGTTTTGAAGTTGTGAGTGAGTGATAGGATTTCTCAGAATACCTAGTATTTTATGGCATTTTATACGCCCTTAATCTCATTTGCAGGGAAGATTGTACAAATGAAGAGACCATTATGTAATATGAAATGTCTTCTGCAGAAATGATTCAATACTTAAATCATCATGATATTATAACTTTTACAGTTCAAAAAAAAAACCAACCACCAACTCACAAAGTCATCTGTTTTGCACTGCTCTCATATTGTTAATTATCATTAAATGTTTATCATTGAATAAAATTTGTATACCGGTAAATAATGATTATTTATGCCTTCCTAATTAAACCATAGAATTTACCTCACATGATTGGTCTAGGAGTATGGAAATTCCAGTGATTTGTTTTGTTCGGGTTTTTTTAATCATAAGTAGTACTAGAGGTTAGAAATAACTGCATGTATGCTTTTCATCCTTTTTTTCTTCACTGAATATTATCGTACGTTCATATATATTGCAATTTTGTAGATCTTTTGTGCTTTATGCACTTTTCTATAAACGGTCTGGATTTAAACATTGTTGTGAAGGAGGAGCCTTCTGGAGCAACATGTTAATCTACCTTTGAAGTGGAATAAGTATATAGCACTTTTGGGTGCTATATAGACAAAGTAGACAAAGGCTGCCTATCAATACAGAAGCCACTGCCTCAGCTGTTGAACGTTATTGCTGTGTGCTGCAGGAAAAATGATTCCTGACAAAGCTACAGAGCATGTAAAAAACCCATTCTTCCCAAACACTAAGTAAAATCTTAGGCCACCAGAGTTTGTGTTTGCCTGTGAAGGAACTGTGTTTATCTGTGAAGGAAACTTCACACCTGCAAGTTATCCATCACCATCAAAACTTTCTCTTCAGAGTCACTCTGTTGCAGGTGTAATTTCAGTAATACTGTGGCCATGATAGGAAATGTCAGAGGAAGATGATAAAATAATGAAATCTTAAATCTGGGATTTCTGCTATTCTAGTACAAAGCTGTAGTAAAGCTTTTTCTGTGAAGACTAAAATTAAAAAAGTGCATAATTTCTTAACACAGTTTTTACTCCTAATCAGTTACTATAGCAAAACCCTAATATGGTGAAGTAGATAATGGCATTTTTCAGTAACTTTGGAAGAAGATGTCATCAAGAACATTTCTTTATGCACTAGAGAGTTTTAGCATTTTATGATGCATTCCCCATTAAAAAAAAAAAAAAAAAAGGAAAGAAAAAAGTAATCAACCTTCTAACCAAATATGCCTGGAAAAACAAAACACATTTAATCTTGAATGTCATTTGTAGCGCTCTGCCTGCTTCCTTAAGCCTTTGATACATGGTTCAGCCATTCCAGAGAAAACATCTGTTCAACCTGTTTTACGAAGGAAACCCGTGTCCAAAACCTGGGACTTTCATCGGTGAGAAAAGGGATCTGGGTTCTCAACATCAGCCTACTTTCTGCCTTCTTCCTTGATTATTTAGGTAGAAAATACTGTTCATAGGTCAAACGTAAAATATCTTTTATATTGCATGGATAAAGGGGTGTTACACAGTTCACTGTATAAATTGGTTGGATTCATTTGGATATACACATTGGATTTATTATGGCTAATGTTGATGTAGCAAGCAAAGCAATTTGAAAAAAAATATACAAGTAATATGTTATAATTTTATTTAAACATTTACCATTTCATATCGAAGTCTTGTTATAGGTAGTTAAAATGAGTTTTCTGTTACTTATATTGTGCTAAAATCTTTCCGTATTCCTTCACATTTTTGAAGTCTCTTCAGTGAAAATATCAGCTTTGCATTGGTGGTTTTCTGGTGTGGATTTTGTAAACAGGCCATACAGACTTTTCTTAAATGTTTTATCTAGCATAAGGATTATAATTGGATCTAAACTACTCTTTGCAGCGGCAAGACAAGTAAGGAAGTTTTTTATTTCCACTAGATAGTTTAACCTCAGGCAGTATCTATCTGTAAGCAGTACATAAAAAATTGGCCTAAAAATATGATATGGAAGAAAGCAGACAGTTAATATCATCTGGATGACAAGAATGTTTCTTTTCACTGTACTGTAAATGAGATGTTTTTCTCCAATACAGGTGGTTTTTTGTATTTTACTCAGATGTTTGGTAAGACAATAGTATGACAACAAAACTGTCGTAAAAGATAGAAAAAAGCATGCAGTGCCAACAAAAGCTGCAATCCCTGCAGTAGTTTCATTAGCTTCTGCTCCGATGCTGTAGCACTTGGAGTCTTTCTCAATCTCTTCCTTGGCATTATATATAATAGCTATTACCGTTATGCAAAGCACAGTAAGCCATATAATGGTAGACAACTGTTTAGCAAATTTCGGCTGACGAAACTTTTTAAGTACACATCTGTAAAAATTTTCATTGATTGCTTGAGAGTATTGTGTGTCACTGGTTTTCTTCAGTGTTGCATACTGATTTATAGCAGTTGAACATAAAATTATAATCGTAACATACATACTGACGTGCATGTTGAGAGTCCCAAGGTGATTTGTTATTTTGCATTCTGTGGAGACATAAGTCCATTGGTACCCTCTTGCAAAATAGACAGCCAGAAAAGGCATTGTGCTACATACACATAAATTTGCAGCGACAAGGTTTCCCAGGTAGATGTACTGTGTTCTTTTTGTGGGTGCTTGCTTTAAAAATATCCAGGCAGCAAGAATATTTCCAAAACTTCCTGCAGGGAATAGCAAAGAGTAGATGACTGGTAGAGCTACAGAAGTAGCTAACGATGGCTGAAGATGACATGTTGAATTTTGCATTTATGCCGTTATTTCTTGAATGAATGTTCAGAGCTGAAACACAATTAAAAAAATTATTCTTCTGTAATTTGCATCTAGCATCTTTTTTTTTTTTCTTTTCTCTTATTTTAACCATTCCTGGTTTTCAATGTTACTAACTGCTTTTTGTCCTCTTTATCATCTTGAGTTTGTCTGAGGTTGCTGTTTGGGTGTTCTCTTCCACTGATAATTCGTGAAGAAAGATTGGCTGATGTTAAACCCCAAAGATTATTTACATGCATAGAACCTAGTAACATAAATGAGGAAACAGAAGGTTCAAGCTAGGGTCGGACAATAGCTTGTGTGGTCTTGGTTTATTTCTCAATTTTCTGGAAGATCTGTAACTTACTTTGGAAACCACTTCTAAACTATTTTAAGTTAAATAAGCAAAATAAGTGCAAAGTGTTACTTTAATTGCAGAAATACAGAGGCATATCATGTACCTCCATTTAAGTACAAATTAAACTCTGCATGATGCAGAAATCTGGCTAGATGCATTTATTTTGCGCTGATGTCTGTATTTAATATTGCTTTGTTAAGAGCTCTTATCTTAGATGTACGTATTGCATATGTCCAGTCTGTATTTTTTAACATATGAAAAGGTTGTTGAAAACTGCAATACATGTATTTTCCAAGTTCAGTTTTCAATCTTCTCTCAGTTTCCGGACTGAAAAGAAGAAAGCAAAGGTCTGTACGGTGACAGCATATAAAAACTGGCATTTAATCTTACTAACCTGTAGTGAAGAGAGATTTTGTTGTTGTATGGATACTGCTTTAGTGAAATGTATCCTTGTTAGCTTTTTTTCCATATAAAATTATATGGAAAAAATTAACATATTTCAAACTTACAGAATAATTTTTCTTTAAAAAGCTGTCAGCAAATGAACTTGGATATCCGAAAGGATTCTCTGTAGCTGTGATAAAAAGCCCAGACACCAAGTTGGTTAGAGAGCAAAAAATTTGTAAACATCATATTTTAAAATTATGCTGTAGGCCATGTTTGACAGCTCACAAATTAAATTAATTTTTATAGCTGTTGCATTTTAACATACACTAAGTCCCATATGAATTGTTGACCAAAATTGTATTAAATTATTTTATTACAATGAGTTAAATTCACAAAGAAATTGTTGGATTCAGTCCTTTAGTAGTCTAATGATCATTTTTGTGTCAATGCCCAAAATTTTGTCAGGTGAAACAAAGAAGTAGTAGTTTTAAGCTTACCTATGCAAGCTGCAGGCACCTTCCTTTGCAGAGAGGAAATTTTTCTGTCTGATGTCCTTTTTATCTCTACTGCTGCAATGAAAAGGCTGATAATTGAATCTGGAAAGTACAGTTAAGAACAGTATCTCTCTGACATAAGTAGTTTTTCAGAATGTACACTTTTCTTTTACAGTGACAAAAAGCAGCTAGGCATTTAAAGTTCAGGCGTGATGATATCTGTGCAAAAAAACCTTTGAAATTAGGTCAGGGTGCAGCTCCATTAGAGAAATAAAAAGAATTAAATAGTGTGGAAGAGTGACTGTAACAGTCCTTTGGTCATGTAGGTATGGCACAGAAACACCTTGCAATCCTTTATATAGTGCTTTCCTCTTTTTGGGGGTGGAGGGATTGTTACTGTCATTCTCTGAAGGACTGCCCACTTTTCAGGCTGAAGAAAAAAAAAGTTGCTATTTTATTCATGAAAAATTTGGATTTACAATGACATTTAACTGTTCCTCAGCTGCAAGAGCTATCACAAAGCTGACTCTATTCCTGAAGCCCACACGCAATAATGCTGCATCCATGTCCACCCTCATATGAGTGACCAAATGAACACATCCCGTATGTCTAGTCAGGTGATGGATTATGTGGAAGCCATTTACAGCTGATGCCTTCTAGGCATCACCTGGGGAAAACTGACTCTTTGTCCAAGAAATAAAGCACTTCATACAAATCATCCAGAAGTGTGCACAGGACAATTTCCCTCCTCCACAAAAAGGTTTGATCACAGATCAGTCAAACTCTTTTTAGCTCTCTAGAGTTTGAGACCTTTGACTTCACTTCTGTCCTGATACATCTGTGGTTGTCAGATACGGCTTTTTAACAGCTATAAATAAGTTCCTTTATGAGAACAGAGGAGGTACCATATAAAAACTTCCGCAATTTTAGTAAGGTTCTTGTTTTGTTAGTTTTGCTTTATGTTCAAACATACACAGTGAGAATCAACCTAAATGGCCTACTATCAATTTTATTGTTCAATCTCATTAATTTTTATTTTTATTTTACTAAAATGATGGACATATATGCTGTCATCCTATTTAGACTACGTAGGTGATCTCAGCATTAAATTTAAGTGAGGGAAACTTGCTGTGGAGTATTAGTTATTAGTTTGAAATGCTCTAATTAGTTTGTGTGGACTTTAATTCTTGTTCCTATTAGATTTAGTTATACTTTGTTTTTATTTTTTTCCACTTCTGAGTGTATTGTTATGATTAAAACTGTTCTAACAGAAAGAATGTTGTATTATTTAATATTTAAATATTTAATAGTCTCTAAGTAGTCTTGGAAGTCCTTGTTACTGTGGTGTTCTATCCAGGTTTAGAGACAAGAATGCGTATCCTGAAAATTGCTAAGAGGAGACATGCCAAAAAACGGTGTGAGCAATTCCAGTTAGCAGGATTTTTTTAAATTATTATTATTTAGTTGGTTTTCAACTGTAGCCTGTATTATTTATAATTCAGTGACCATAACTCTTGTTGTAGGAAGCGATAATTCTATGTTTTCTTCAGAATTATTATATGATAATAGTTTATGATAGTAAATTACAGTCTACCAGATTTCATTTTGAAACTGATTAGTGAGGTAAATAACAAAGGAATGGGATATTATAAATAAATAAATACAGTTACAGTTAGTTCCAAGCTGTAGTAAGCACCTCCGTTATTCTTTTAGTGGATTATTTCTATTCACCTAACTTAAAAATGGCATATTTGATGATATTCGAATAGTACAAGTGCATCGTATATGCAATTCGCTCTTCAGTTCTTCATGTGCATTCATCACCTCAATTATATGTATTTTCTGTACTCTTAAACCATGATCACTTTCTAATTTATTACTGGATTTTATATGTCAGTAAGCAGCATATTGTAGAATCATAGAATGGTTACACTGCATTTTGCCATTTTATGCAGACAACTTATTTTGTGGTCCCAAAGCGCAAAACCCGGGTAATTCCCAGTGGTGAAAGGTATTTTGGTTAACCGTTTGTAGCCTAGTTTGTTAGGCAGTATAATCATATATGAGAGAGTGACCCACTTGCAGGCTGCCTGGACCCTTCCTCTCCTCTCTGACTGCTTGAGATGAGAGAAGGACAGCCCAGTCAGCCTCAGATCTCCTTGAGCCTGTCACAAACCAAAGGGAGAACTGCCTGTTCTGGCTGTACAATGGAGTATATGACATCTTGGCAGCAGTTACCCCCTGTAGGACGGAAGGAGGCAGCAGCTTGGTTAGCTCAGTCTCTGCATCTTGAGGAACGGAAGGCAACTGCTGAGGGTAGGGCACAGAAAAGTGTGCGGCCCTGGGTATGTCTTCAATGGATGCTGAGGACAAATCATACTGAATAAGCATATAACAGGCACCAAACATGCAGCAGCCTTAAACTTGAGATTTAATTTCACATACTTCAAATTTGATCTACTCAATGGCATTTAATACCGAAATAAACCTCTAAGATGCACTGGCCATTACACAAGTACAATCCATATTTTGTTTCTAAAAACCACATTTGTCAAGTAGCTTGCATAGAACTTTGACATTTGGTGCTTAGTTTTGTTGAGGATCTTTTTTCCTTCAGCATGAAAATTGAGAGGGGTTTTTTTGACTGCATAAATTCTTAAGACAGATGTACTACACAATAACCACTTTCAGTTGGAAACCTGCATCAGGAGAGTTGTTGCAGAGCACCATGGTTCCTCTCTGCCTGCTTGTCCATTTTCCATGCAGGGTGACCCAATGTGCACGCAGATCTTCTCCTGACTTGATATAGTGAGAATTTTTGGTATAGTCAATATATATATTTAATATTGTAAGAAATGCTTATCAAAGCAAAATCATCTGAGCTCATGTTTAAGTCTACTCAAGTTGAGCCAAGCACTATGCTGAATCAATGAAGATAAAATATTTGGCAGGTTTGAGCTGGGTTTGTGTTTGCTGCTCAGTTGTGATTTATTTTTACCAGTTTTAGGACTGTTCTTGTGGTTCAGCAAAGTAGGCCATGAATGAAACTTCTTATGTTGTTTGATGAATTACAAGTGTATGCAATATAACTCTGTGGCATCATTAGGGATAGAGAAATGGGGATATATTGCACTCATAGTTTCAATTCTTTGGTTGTCATAAAACATGCCAAGTTAAGCATTTCACAGGCTCCAGGTTGTTGTTTTACATAGACAAAACACGAGCCAAACAACGTCTTTCAGGCCAGAAAACTTAGCTTGAAGTTGACAGTACTAATAAAGTAATCTTCCAACGTTTTTATGCTTCAGGTCTTTAATGCTAAATACTTTATATTTTTTCCCTAATGACATTCTTGTGCAGCTCCCAAAGGTCTCTCTAACTGTATTTGCTTTAAAAAAAACCCACACCACTGCCTGTGTATTTGTCGTGATGATTTTTACTTCTAACTTCAGAAATTAGTGTTTAATGTGAAAACTCTGTTGAGCATAACAGTAAAATAGGAAGCTTTCTCTCTGTTTTTCTGCACCATACTATAATTTGTGTTTTTTCAAGTTAAATATGTTTGCTTATAACATCTTTTTGGCTTTCCCAGGTTCTTCTTAACTTCTGCAAAAACGCAGAATAAAGCAAAAATAAAGACCTAAAACACAGCAGTAAAAGCAAAACTAATACTTAAAAGGTAGATTCTGCTGACTGCAACCTGGGGACTTCCTTGCTGGTAAAGAACATTTCTGTACCCCATTTTTGTGGAAGGAATAGCAATATATTTTTCTTTCTAAAGCACAGTCTTTTATCATGGAGTCATAGAAAGGTTTGGATTGGCAGGGACCTCAAAGACCACCTTAGTTCCAACCACCCTGCCATGGGCAGGGACACCTCCCACTAGATCAGGTTGCTCAAAGCCTCATCCATCCAGCCTGGTCTTGAACAGTGGTGGGGCATCCACAACTTCTCTGGGCAACCTGTCCCAGTGCCTCACCACCCTCACAGCTTAGAATTTCTTCCTCATATCAAATCTAAATCTCCCCTCTTCCAGTTTAAAACTGTTCCCCCTCATCCTATCGCTACACTCCCCGATAGAGTCCCTCCCCATCTCTCCTGTAGGCTCCCTTCAAGTACTGAAAGACCACTATAAGGTCTCCCTGGAGCCTTCTCTTCTCCAGGCTGAACAACCCCAATTCTCTTAGCCTGTCTTCACTGGAAAGGCGCTCCAGCCCTTCTCTGGACTCCCACCAACAGGTCCATGTCCTTGTACTGGGGGCTCCGGAGCTGGATGCAGTACTCCAGGTGGGGTCTCACCAGAGCAGAGTAGAAGAGGAGAATCTCCTCACTCGACCTGCTGGCCACGCTGCTTTTGATGCAACTCAGGATACAGTTGACTTTCTGTGCTGCCAGCTCACCTTGCTGGCTCATGTTGAGCTTCTCATCACCCAACACCCCGCAGTCCTTCTCCTCAGGGCTGCTCTCCAGCCATTCCCCACCCAAGCTGTATTTGTGCCTGGGCTTGCCATGACCCAGGTGAAGGACCTTGCACTTGGCCTTGTTGAACTTCATGAGGTTTGCATGGGCCCACCTCTCAAGCTTGTCCAGGTCCCTCTGGGTGGCATCCCTTCCCTCCAACATGTTGACTGCTTAACACAGCTTGGTGTTGTCAGCAAACTTGTTGAGGGTTCACTCCATCCTATGTCCATGTCGGTGTGCAGACTTAAGGGAATTTACTATTTAAGGACTCACATTTACAGACAAAAGAAAGGTAAGTTTTGACGGTAGCATGTACCAGAATATATTATTGTGGTGTGTTTTAAATTACTGATTCAGCTTCTTAAAACATGGGTTTATAAGTAAACCCTAGGGTTTTTTTATCCTCATTTTGTTTCTGACTTTGCAGTGCTATGATGCACAATTAGACATTTCTCTGCCATTCATGTTCTTATTTCTACATTTTCCATTCTGCATGGTTTGAGTGTTAAGGCTTTTTCCAGCTTTATCCCTTCCTCCCAGTTATTCTCGCTGTCATAGTGTCTAGGAACAAATTCTGTGCAAGGATTTTTCCTACCTATTCACTCTACAGCAGTGAAAAGTGACAGCTTTGTAGCACCTTCTCCATTCTCTTGGATTCCACAGAGCCCTCAGTACTTGGAATTATGTATAAGGGAAGAAAGGCTGGCAGAAGGTTCCCAGTGCTACAGAGAATACATTGAAAATATGTTTTGGATTGGTGGAACATGTTCTTTTCTCTGTATGCTTTATTTGTATTGTGTAGCACAACTCCTTCCTCTCCACCCTGATCCTGTGCTTTTAGAGAC